CACCCCCTGCACACAGCCCTGCTGCTGGAGGCCATGCTCTGGTGCCCTGCTCTGGCCTGGCTGCAATGAGCAGCCAGAGGCCATTTGTTGGAAGAGGTGCTGGGTCCATCAGCCACCTGGTAAAGCCCCACTCCCCTGCAGGTTTCTTCCAATTCAGCCATTGCTGCTCTGTGCCAGGAGAATCCTCATTCTGAGCAGGAAAAAATGATAGCATATATTCTTGGTGTTCTGGGGACTCTTTCTTTCTCCCTCCAGTTGGAGAGAACCTGGAGGAATGTTGTCCATGGGGTCATGATGGGTCGGGCACAACTTTGTGACTAAACTAACAAAAAAAAAAAAAAAAAAAACGGTTGGAAGGGCCTGGAGCCTCCATCCATCGTCCCTGGGTCCTCTCCTCAGCCACAGCCATTTGGAGGACAGCTGCCATGGAGGGGATACATGGTGGCTCCTTCCATGGAAGGACAAGGTGGTGCACCCTGGTGTGCAGGGACAAACTGACAGGAGAACAGTTTAAGCAAGCTGGAGTTGAGGGACAGTCCATGACCCCAGCAAGGAGCAGCAGATGTGGGCAAGTAAGCAGTGCTCCTCTCTACTGGATGGATGATCAGTGAGACGAGGGAGCTGATATCTGCGCACTTCTCTGTCCTCCACCAAGGGGAAACGGAGTTGCAAAATCTGAGAGGATTGTCCTCCCACAGTTCTATGAGGAAATATCTGGGCAAGCTTCTCACTTGGATCTGGGCCATGGATTGCAACTGCTGGCTTCAGATGGTTGTTGTTCCCAGTTTTAGAAAGGGAATACAGTCATTTCTTCTGGAAATGCTTGAAACACCATTAGGCTTTGAACCACATGGCAATCTTGCTAAGTATTTCTATGCTTTGGCTGATGTGACTAATCCAGTAACAGGGAATATATTTTGTTTTAAAAGCAGTAGGAGGCTTCAGAGGGGATTTTCTGTTAATTGGGTTACAAATTAAAACAAGCTGGCCTTACTAGGGATAATTGGATGGCACTGTACACAGACCCAGAGCCAAGAAATGAGGATGGGATCTTCTACCAATGCAGATCATGAAACTGTATTTGTCCCTTCCATCAGACAGGACTCACTGGATTGCTTCTGAAAACATCCAGCTGTTTCCCAAGCATTTGAACTCCTTGCTTACCCTCTGGATTCCTGTGAAGCCACCTTTGAAACATATATGGCTGGCTTCAGACTTAGTCAAACTTAGAGTAGACCTATTGAAATCAATGGGACCCAAGTAAGTCATGATGAACTTTTGACCCAATTCATTTAATAGCCTGCCTTCTAAGCATAACCAAGTCGAGGGTCAACCCGTAGCCCATCCTTCTCCAGCCTCCAAGGCAACTTCTGTTACACCAAGCCGGCCAGCATGGCCGTGGCCACAATGCAGAGAAGCCTTTGCACAAACGGGCCTGGGAGGCAGGCAAGAAGAATCAACCCTCCAGCAGGTCATGTGCAGGTGCTTTCAGTGCCAGGGTTCCTCCCAGAAAGTGGAATGCAGCAATCATATTTTCCCTGAGCATGGGCAGAATGCTACTCCCATTCCACCGATAAGCCACACTAGCCAGGAATTAGCTATATCGTTTGGGGCAAATAATGCAAAGCTTCAAGCACTTCTCGTTTGGGAAATGATGCCTCCTCAAGCAACTCAGGCCTAACTGGATTCTGAGAGCTTTCTTACTGGAATGTTGAAATATGCGTAAGTGTTGCCCAACTATGCAAGAGGGTCAACACACCCACCATTCAGGTGGCAGCTGCTGCTAAAAAGTGGGTGGAATGGAGGTATGTAAGTTGCAGTTGGACAGCTGTCTGTTGAGATGCCATAGCTCTGGGTTTCCTGAGTCAAGGAGGGAGTTGGACTATCTAGTCCACAACGTGCCCACAAAGCCATTAATTCAAAGGTGGAAATTCTATATGCAAGTACATGGGAATCTGTCCTGATGAACTGCATGAACCTCGCCCACCAGTTGTGCACAGAGTTACATTTTGTTTTAAACACCACTTAAAGTTGGCAATTCTTTTCCACTCATACAGGTGACCTGATAAAATGCAAGAATGTCTCCTCCCTTGCAATCCAGTTCGAGGCCACACCTGACAGCTCCAACTGCAAATGTTCAGTGGAGCCTGCCAGAATCTCCTCCCAATAGGGCAGGCCCACAGCTGCAGCTGCACTTTCTGGGATCTCTTGCAATGTCACTGACCACTGCTCTTTGGTGCTCCTAAAATTATTTCCTACCCAGTATTTGCGTTACTTGTGCATTCAGGCCATGAGCTGTCCTGCCTGAAGCACAACCTCAAATCGGGAGAGACAAAAACATGCAAGCCTCTTGTAACTGGCTGGAAGGGCAGAAATTTGGAGCTTCACACATGCATTCTTCCTGCATTAAGAACAATTATGGGAGCTCTTTGAGCTTTGGGGTCCTGGAATCCAGCGCCAAGGCCCAGCCTTAGCCTATTCACAGGAGGCCCACTGTTTAACATCAGTGGCTACCCAGTCCAGCCTGAACAAAGAGAATAGAGTGACCTCCATCTTCCAAACCAGCCTTTACAATGAAAATGATACGGCTGGCTGGGGAGGCCAGGGTCCTGCAAGCTTTTCCTGCCTAAACATGCACAGGATTATGCCATTAAGGGGGAAGCTCCTCCTCCACTTCCTCTTTTACCGCTTCAGGTGTCAAAAGAGATGCAAAGTTCTGGCTCTTATGCTTCTGGCGATATCAACCATTGTAATGTAATGCTGTTGTGGCATGTCTTTGATGACTCCCCATCTTCCTCTGGCTCTGCCTCACACTCTTTGGCCTTCTCCTCTTTTTGCACATGCCTGATATGCTGTGGACTCCCAAGACATTCTCTCCAGAGGAGCAAACCACTTTATTTGCTGTCTTTCTATATAGTTAAGCAGCTCTATCATGCCCTCTATTTCTGATGTTCATGCGTGAATGCCAGTGCACATATAGATAAAAAGTCACACACACACACAAAGAAAAGGTATCTGCAAGCTTAGCAGACCACTGCAAAAATGGAATAAAGGATTTAGGGGAAAAATGCTGGAGTGAATACCTCCCAAGGGGCTTTCCAATGAGCATGTTGAGTTTGAGGGAAGGGCACCATTAACCAGCCAGCAGGCTAAACACGAGCACACCCTACTGCAGTTTCCAGTTGCCAAACCTCGCTTTTTACTGCTGAGCGACTATTAATTTAAATGAATGTTTAGGCGTGCTTCAAAGGTAGAACCCTTTTAGTAATGCTTTGGCACAGCGCTTGTATTTCAGACATACAGAGCGATCGTACAATTAACACGCATACGGTTAGGCTCTGCACATGCTCAGAAGCGTTCTTTTCACGCTTCGGGGCTCCGCCCAACAAGACGAGGTTCAGTCTTTGGGACCATGAGAACATTGCACACCCGCGTCTTTCTGTATCTGCCCGCAGGCGTACAGAGCCCTGGGCGTGAACGAACGCGCGTGCGCGTGCAAAGAAGGCGCACGCAAAACGCCTATTCCGCCCACTCAACGCTGCCCTGCGACGCATGCGCATAGCGAGAAGTGCCGGGACGGTACGGTGAGCAAGGAAAGCGAGGGGCGTGTCTGGACGCGCTGGCGCAGGCGCGCTCGAGGGACGGGGCGCTCGTTGGGTTACCTCAGCAGTCAGTCAGTGGGTCGGTTGGTCGGCCAGCCGTTCGCGCATGCGCGCGCGGCGACCTGCGCCTCCCTTCCTCCCCTCGGCGTACCTCAGAGGCGGCGCAGCGCGAAGCGGGCGCCGCCGCCGCTGCCGCCAGTCACCCTCGCGATGGGCTCGGAGAAGGACTCGGAGTCGCCGCGCTCCACCTCCATCCACGCGGTCGCCCCGCCGGCGAAGTGCCCGAAGAGCGGCTCGGGGCAGGAGGGCGGCGGCAGCCCCGCCGGGGGAGGCAGGAGCGGCGGCCCGGCCGCCTCGGCCTCCGCCTCGGCCTCCGGCCGCGGCCGCCGACGCCTCCTCAGCTTCCAGAGCGTCTTCTCGGCCGCCGCCTCGGCCGCGTCGTCCTCGGCGTCCGGAGCCGGGGTGCGCCGGCGCCGGGCCAAGGCCAAGCCGGAGCCGCCTCAAGCCAAGCCCGCCCCGGTGGTGGAGGAGGAGGAGGAGACCGGCCCTGCCGCGCCGGCCGCCGCGAGGGAGAGCCCGCCGCCGCCCTCGGCCTCGCCGCCGCTCGCCGGCGAGGGCCATGCCAGCGCCGCCGCCGCCGCCGCCGCCCCGCCGCCGCCGCCGCCCGGTGCGGAGGGCGAGGAGGGCGAGGAGTCGCCGCCGTCGGAGCTGGAGTGCCCGCTGTGCCTGGTGCGGCAGCCGGCGGGCAACGCGCCGCGCCTGCTCTCGTGCCCGCACCGCTCGTGCCGCTCGTGCCTCCGCCAGTACCTGCGCATCGAGATCACCGAGTCGCGCGTCAACATCAGCTGCCCCGAGTGCAGCGAGCGCCTCAACCCGGCCGACATCCGCCTGCTGCTGCGCGACTCGCCGCACCTCGTCGCCAAGTACGAGGAGTTCATGCTGCGGCGCTGCCTGGCGGCCGACCCGGACTGCCGCTGGTGCCCGGCGCCGGACTGCGGGTGAGCGCCTCGCTGCCCTGCGGTGCCCGGGCAGGCACTGCCGCGGCCGAAGCGGCGGGGAGGCCGATGGGGGCGCGGGAGCGGGCGAGGCGGAAAGGGGCCTTCCACTCCCAGAGCGCCCCGGCCCGTTGGGAAGCTGCAGGCCCTTCTCCGAACCTAGTGTGCGCTGTCTTCCCAGAGGGGAGATCAGACGCCTTCACCAGGGGGTTCGTGATGCCAGACTAGTTCTGTATCATATCAAACTTAGGGTCAGAAGCGATACTAATCTTCGGTGTACAAGCTTTCAGGATGAACGTAATGTCTCAAACTAATTCACACACACACTTGGGGGGAGGGAGGGGGAGAGAGAATGAGATTGCGATTCTTTTTAAGGACCGTTGTGCTGAGTTTTGAGCAGTATAAGACATTAAGGTATTTTGGTGCCTTTGCATCTGCTTTTCTACCTATAAAGTATGGAAGAACTTGAAAGCACGCACAATAATTGCAAAAAGAGGGAACTAGTCTCAAGATGCAGGAAAAAAAGTTTTTCTTTAGGAAGTCCAACATGTTTTGGCCTAATATATTAGTAATGGTATTCTTCAGGAAGATTCTAAGGGGTGCTGTATTGGTCCTCTAAGGTATGACCCTGTCCTAACAGAATTATTGGAAGGCTCCTTAAAAGAATTACCTTGAGAAAGGCTGGTACTAATATTTTGGGTCCAAATGTATTGATTTTCCTGAAGGATAAAACCAGTTTTACAGCATCTTGGGGCTAGTTCTCTCTTTCTGGATGTCTTTGCAGCATTGCCCCTCTTCTCTAACAGGTTGAATGCATGGTATATTAGAATAAATCAAGTAAATAAGGCATATTCTTTCCATTAAAAATAATGTGTTCTTCTTACTGGCATTTTAGTTTGTAAACTTAAGTCTAAATTGGCATTAGGGGGGACATAGAGTGAAGCAGCTGAAAAACAAGAGATGGGTATGAAAGTAAATGGCTTTTTCTGTTGGGGATAAGGATGTGAGGAATTAAGCCCGAAGGTTTTGTGGGAGAGATGAGTTCTGCAAATAGAATTAATATTTTGTTTAGTTTACACAATAGGTCACTCAGGAAGTAGCACAGCATAATGTCTGAGCCCCTTTTGAACCAGTTCAGGTACTGCTGCTTTTGTGAGCTCATAGAGTAGCCTTATGCAAGCTACTTTGCCCCTACACCTTTTTTGCAATATTAAAATATTCATAAAGTAACTCTTTGAATACTTAAAAGCATTATATGAATGCTAATAAATAATCATTTTTATGGTTGCTCTCTGCTTTATCACACACTTTCTTTAGTGACTAGTATATTCTCTGTATTAAGGGTAATATAGGGGACAGTAGTTAGAACTGGTGGTCAAAGGCTTGTTGCTAAGGATGGCATAGAAATGTTTAAATTAAATTTAAATTAAACTGTTACTAAATCTTTCCATTGTGATTTTAAAACTGAATTTTGAAGCATAGTCAAAAATAAAGTCCCAGTAGGAATATGCTTAACTCTCTCACCCTTTAGAGTCTAAGGAAAATGATTTCTTAGCCCCCATAAGGCAGCTACTTTGGTGACTTAATGATTATAGTTTTGAAAGATTGAATGAAAGTTTTATCATCATAACTGCTTAAAATCTATGAGAGACTGTTACAGATTTTAAAATAAACATTCACCTTGTCTGCAGGTTCACAGTCTAAAATTTTATGCAGACTGGGAAGCTGCACCTGTGAATGATCCCTTACTTTATATGGCTTGAAGAACGTTGAAAAGCTGAAGGCATGAAAGAGTCCCTGTTTTTCAGACAGGGTTTGTGTAAGATCAGCCTTTTCATTATAGATGCAGACTCACTTTGCATGCCATGGCAACAGTTCCTGAGCTGTTCAACCCAGAAATTGGGGAAACAGGTGGAGCTCACAAGCTATGCATAAGCTGTTTCTGCTTCAAATCTGGATCCCAATCCAGACTTTTCAGTTGGACATGATGAAATAATCCAGGGTCCTGGATTGTTAAATAAAGTGGAAATGGTTTGCAGATGCTGCTTGTCTCATAATTTCCTGTGCTAAACACCCCACAAATTGCAGTTGTCATGCAAATAAGGTAAGACTTACACATGCTTTACAAGATTAATATGTCCTTTTTCTGGTTTTATTAGACCACATCCTCCTCTCTGCTAATGGAGGAAAAATGTGATATTAAGTTGTGCATATGTAAAATGCATGGGTCTGTAAAAAACACCATCTGTGCTTTACATCAGTTTGCGTTTAAGTGGGACATAGAAATGAAACATTCTTCTAAGGTGAAAAAGATCACTCAAGATATTTTATTATGCTTTAATAATGGAATATGGAGTACTTAGCCCCAAGAAGTGGCTCATCAAGAGAGATGGTTGGTTGTGGTGGATCCTGGCAAATGGTAATCTAAAGATTATTCTGTGACTTAAGTCCTTGACAGGAAGAGTCCCTGCTGTCAAGGTGATCAGCTGACCTGGCTCTGCAGTGAAATGTGAATGCTGCTTTGTGTAGAATAGTCTTACTCATTTAGTTCTAAGTAGGTTTTGCACTAAAGTGGTTTTGTCAGTAAAAGTCTTCCTGAGAATCTCATTTTAACCGTCTATGGATATTTAACCTCGTGGGAGGTGATGCTTGGAAGTTTGGCCTAGTGAACTGAGATGTAAAGCTGCTTCAGCTATTCTTAAAACAAACTCTTAGTACTCTGTGTTACTTAGGTTTCAGGCTGTGGTGGGAAGCAATTTTCTGAGAAGTGACTTAAACACCAGTATGGCTCTTTCTCAACCCTCATCGTAACTTTCTGTTTCATATCTAATAGTTGGCCTCTGAATTAGAACATGAAACTGCTGGCAGACCAGAATGTGTACAGCAGTGAAGTGAGAAATGTTGAATCACTGTTATTCAACATCCGGTTATGGCCTGGCTGTTGGTAGAATAACAAGGAGTCTTTTTCACTTTCACTTCTGTTTTACTGTAAATCATCCTCCTTAGAGTTTCCCTGGTACAGCACACAGAATAAGAGACAGGAATGTTAAGTCTTAAAAATTTAAGCTATTCTAGGGTTTCTTCATTTTCCTGGAAACCGTCAACTTAAAATGATAGTGGAAGCTATCAATATACTTGGCCTTATAGTTAAGTAATCGTGACTGCCTCATATTACATTGATTCCTGTCAAACATTCAGAAGTTTAGGGAGCATCATCAATTGCCAGTCCAAAGTTACAGGACCTCATGAAAAATTCTGCATTTGATTCTGGTTCTTAAATGGTAACAAGGTAATGGAGAGCAGAATTAGAAAGTTAGGCAGGCCCACACCCTGGTACCACTAAACACTGTAACAGAAGGCAGAATCTGGTAACCACTCAATTGTTTGTCCTCTGTTCAGCTGTTGCAACATTTTTCAGATGGGTAGCAGTGTAAAACACCTTGGCTTTGAATTGGTGCCTTCAGTTTGCCATTTTCATGGTAATGATATTCTTGTGGCAAGTTTCTGAAGGTTAGTGTGTTATTTAGTCATTTGTAAAATAGGATATCCCATTTTGGTCTCCTTGTTTTCTGATCCACTGGTTTGTACATGGTGATTCTGTAAACCCCTCAGAAAATTCCAGAGGAAGCTATAATGTTGCACCCTCTGTTGCAGATGTGAGAAAGTTCATCAAGTGGATACTTAATGGCAAGTCACCTTTGCTAAGCTGGAAAGGCCTGGGCCTGCAGCAGGGTGGTGACAACATGTGGAAGCTGAGCTGGGATTGGACTCAGTGGCCTTATAGCCCCCTTCCAGTTCTATTCATAGCAGTGCTGAGGGTCATGCTGTGAACTCTCAGAATCTAGATTTAACTTTATTAAAATGCCATTTTATTTTATGGCTGCAGTGATTAATTTAAAATAAAGTGGCACACATACAAAATGATTAAAAACAGGGACATAACGTGGTGAAAGTCAAATTCAGTCTAACAAATTTCAGTACCACTTCTTACAGTTGTAAATAATGGTTTTAGAATATAAGTGGCACCAAATTCAGCTGTAGGTTTTGTATATCAACTGCATGAACAGTAGGTGCCATTTATTAGGTGATGAGGTGTAGAATATTTTTGGAGCTAATGCTGAGATACTTAATGCATTCTGGTGGATAACTGTTGCATATAAACAGCGACAGATGATTGTAGTGCCAAGGTGGGTGCTTTGTCCAGAGTGTGGTACCTAATAACTGTCAGTGGCTTTTGTTTGTTGTTCAATTATAATATTTGGTTTCCTAATTAGTTTTATGTATGCTTTACACAGAATCTTTCGCCTGTTGGTTTCATAGATCATTTTCTCTGACATGAGGGCAAAATCATATTCAGGAAAATGTAGCATGCAGCACTAGGAATGGCTTCAGTATTCCACCAATACTTTTAGTATCTTCATAAATTGCCAAGCTTAGCTATTCTGCCTGGGGAAGTCAGCTGCAGACATAACACACAAGTGTGTTTCCATGGTAATTCTGGTCTTCTAGAGTACCATTAGATCTGCATACAAATCTGAAACTATCTTTTTCATAGTAGTCAGGTTATACTGCTGTGTGGCATTTAGTTGTTGATTTGTATTTCAAACCATTTAAATACATCATGTTGAATGGGGAAAATAGAGCATGAAGAAGGTGGGACATGCTTTCACAGTGAGTTGAAGCAGAGGATGGCAGTCATCTTGGTTGCTGAAACCAGGGTAAGAGCAACATCCTGTTAGCAAGCTCTCTCTCCAAGTGTTTGTACTTATGTGGTCAAGACAGCAAGGGGTATCCACAGTCTTGGGATAGTAGTGAGGGGGAACTTCAAGATTTGCAGAAGTGCAAAAATGGTTTAGAAAATGTGATTGTGGTAGAGTGAACCCAAAACAGGTGAAGATGGAATGCTGAGTAACTGCTTGATGGGGAAAAACCAAAACCATGAAGAAGTGAATATCCCGGACGAGGACATTGCTGACTGGCTAGAACTCATATCAAGGCATTTTGTTCTGCATCATTTTTTTCACAGGCACCACTTGTGCATTCTGTTCTCAGATTTCAAGTGCGCACAAAAAAAGCAAAGCAGCTACCTTTGCAGTTGAGGCTTCATCTTACCAAAAAGTGGTTCACTCAAAACTTGGTGGCATAGGCCAAATGGGAGTAAATGTAATTCAGTAAATGCTACATGTTGAAATCTTGAGGTAATACAGGTAGGTTGTTCAGAAGCAGAACACAAGAACATTAAAGCAGACTTGACAGTCAACTCTCGCTGTTAAAGAAAAAATGGTATTTCACTAATACTATGTCAGTGAGTTTGTGGCAGTCAGCTGTCTTTTTAAATCTGGTTGTGAAATAGAATACTTGTGGCACAACTGTTGTCTGGTAGGCTGAGATTGCTAAAGGAGGCATGCCAGTAGGGACTCTTATGATAAGCACTGGAGAATCTATGTGCTGGATCATCAAAACTTCTTTCTCCACCTGTTAAGAGATTATTAGATTTACAAAAAGGCAGTAGTTCACATGGATGCGCCAACAGCTGCTTACAGGTTGGGTGCAGACCTATATGAATGTGCAAGCTATATGAAGATACTTGTAATATAAAACTAAACTCTGCAGCTTTAATATGCTATGCAGATTTGCACACTGTCAGTAAATTCACTATATGTTATTTCAGTTGCATTTTCAGGGATTTTCCTTTCTGCGGAATCTGACAAAGTTGGAAGAGTAATAAATTACTTGGGTTTTGATGAAGTTGACAAGGACTAGGAATCACAGGGAAGGTCCAGAAGTTGTGCCTCCTAACAGTGGAAGTTACTTATGAGCATTTCATTGTACTCTTCCTAGGACTCATTTTTAAATACTTTTCTAGTACTCTTTTTAAAAGTTCTTTTTTGTATAACCTTAGCTAGAAGGTAACAGATTCATAAAATTCATAACTGTGGGTGGAGAAATTGAAATAGATAGATCTTTGGACTTGCAGTGTTTAAGCACAACTGTTATTGAGTCCTGTTGAGTGGCAGGACTTGAGCTGCAGTATCCTGCCATGAATGGAAAGTTATCCTTGCGGTCAAAGATGACTTTAGTTAATATTTTACATTTCTTACCTGTGTCAATGTTCTCTACTAGTGCTAGGCATTCTTGTGTACTAAAAATATAGATCATGCCTATGAATATGTATGTACATCCATTTCTGTCTTTCAGCCTTGTGTTTTGGCAGGCACATAAGTTATATTTGCTTTTAATAATAGCATTGTACTTGGATAGAAAAAAGTTGCTTAAGTTTTCACGGGATGTGATTCATGTGAACTATCCCAGTGTTTGCATGTTGCTGTGTCTGAGAAATGGTAATACAACCTAAATTACATGAATATTAAGTTCTGTGTCTTTGTTAGGGTCACAAAAAGGAAAAACCATTTTTTTTATCCTTCAGATCCTTAAGTTATGCAAAATTGTCCCCCTTCTGCTGCTGTTCTGTGAAGCCAGTTGTAATCCATCCATAAAATCATAGAATAGTACAGTGAAGAGGCCATGAAGGCCATCGAATCCAACCCCCTGCTGTTGCAGGACACCACGTTACACCATCCCACTCAGAGGGTTGTCCAGTTTCTTTTTGAATGACTCTAGTGTGGGAGAGGCCACCATCTTTCTAGGCAACTGGTTCCACTGCTGTATTGCTCTGATAGTGAGGAAGCTTTTCCTGATATCTAGCCTGAATCTTGACCTTTCTCTTTGTGACAGCCCTTGAGGTACTTATAGAATGATACCATGCCTCCCCTCAGTCTTCTCAAGGCTGAAGATGTCTGAACTTTTAATTATTTTCTTATTCACTTTATGTTTTATGAGGCATCCTGTAGTTGAAACTCTCTTGGTGATTAATAGAATAAAAGCAAACACAATTAGACCAAATAAAAAAACCTGAAACCATATTATGTGTAATGTTACTCAACAGAAATCAGTATTTAAAAGAGATAAAGGAAGTTTATTTTAAAATTCAGCATTATCCTTGTTAAAAATCAAGCAGATTAATTGTTATGGTCCTGAAAGAACAAAAACCATTTTTTCCGGTGCCAAGGTAGTTGCCAAGTGGCATTCACTAGGAAAAGTATT